ACAGTGCTACTAACACTCCAACATTCAGAAGTCAGGTGCCTAGAGGACCAAAAGATTGTCCTGAACTTCATTATACTCTGAAACAAAGACGTGAGAAAATTGAAGAAAGGAGTAAGAGTCTGTCTTTGTGCGTGTGTTTATGAAACCCATTTGAGAGGCAGAGGAAGATCTCTTATCTGCTCCCTGACATATCATGTATTTGGAGTGAATAGAGAAGGATGTGCTGCAGCAGGGACTGCACCTTCAGACAGCCCTCCTTGCAGGAAGCTGCCCTGAGCTACTGGACTATGGGAACATAAAATATCCACTTTAGCTTTCACTGACTGCATTCCAGAGCTTTGCAGAGGGACCAGCTTCTGCAGGAAAATCAGCATGCCTGGGAAATATCCCATGACCTGTTGGTTGGTGCATATTCCTTAAACTGAGGTTTAAATCTTTTGGATATAATAGGAATACAGTTAAATGCTTTGAAATTGTTGGAAAACAGATTTTGATTTTTAGTTTAAATATATACACACCAAAGGATAGCACTAATTTTTCATCTTAGCTTAAAGTACAACAACCAAAGTCCTAATGTCCCTATGCTTGTGATGCACAGTAGTCATCAATCTGGCTGCTGAATTATTTCCTTATAAGATCATTTAACTCCAAAACTTCATATTATACAGGTCACGTGCTCTGGTGATATTCAGAAGGGAATTGTCACTTTCAGACAACTAATATCAGTCATTCTTCTATCTATATTTGGATTGCAGGCTCAGGAAAGTGTGATGGCAGTTATTAACTGCTCTCAAGAAATCCACTTGCAAGATGGATTTATTTCTTGATTAATGATGGAGATTATTCAAGTATTAATTCCAGTTTTTTATATAGCAAACTTGATATCATCCTTGTTCTCTCCACCCTTAAAATTACTATGATTACTCTAATTGTTAGAAAGCTATTATTTGATTCAGATTTGCAAAGTAATTATCAGCTAGTAGCACATCTGCCATTTCTCACTAAATTTTGGTATGTATTGTTGTATCTCAATTAACAAAAGATCTACTAACTGAAGCATTGCTGTATGAATTCTAGTAAGGCTTTCAAGCATGACATAAATTTTGTCCTGATTGATTCTGACTGTTACTGTGTGCTCTTTAATTTGTTGCTTTGCATTTCAGAATTGTCTGTGAACCTAGTGCTTGATGTTTTAAACAATGATTTCTTCATCTGCAGCAATCAGATGTACATCTAGAAGTTTTAACAGATGGAGTATCCTTTATGACATTATTTCTACTTCTGCTTCATGAGTTGTATTCTCATTGCCTTTTTTCTTTGAATGTGTCACAGGCTATGCAGATTAAACAGAATTACAGTTTTTAATCTCGTCTTTGAGTTAGTACTACTAAGATGATGGGATAATCATCTGTACATATCTAGCTTTTCTGTCATGAATATGAGGAGGAGTGAAGGCAACCAACACACTAGCTATTAATACTGGAGCATCATTTATGTGGTTTTTACACCCACTGTACTTCGTATATAGATTTTTCAAGTTGTTGCAAAGTTATATCATTTAAAGACGAGATTTTGAGCGCTCATAAATATGCACAAGTGCTTGTGTGCACACCCAAACACACATACTTCAAATGTCTGAAAACATTTCTGTATTAGATAAACAATCTCAACAGCCTACTATTGAGCTGCTTAAAATTGTTCTTGTACTGAAATATACTTAGTTCGGTTCATGCGCAACATTGCTTAGTTAACACTGTAAATTCTTCTGGATTACCAAATTCTGTGGACATATGTTTTCTGTAAAAACACTCTCATGACTTTTTTTAGAAACTATTACTGAGTCATATTTACTATAGTTGAGCTAAGAAATCTATCAGGTACACAGGAAAATTAGTGCAGTATGGTCTTATGATAGAAATAAAGTCTGCAAGCCTCAGTTTTACTTACTTTATGGTCTGTTGCTTCCAATGAAATTAGTTTTTTTTTTTCATGGCTTTTGATAGAATCAGTATCAGTAGCTATAGCTTCTTTCTATATGGTTCTTTCAGGAGTTAAAGTCTTATTCCAGTATGTTGACATAAGCATCATTTTTTTCTGTGATGAACTGGGAATACTGGGACCCAGGGTTCTTCTTCTCTGACTTATCTGTGCCATACATAAGATGGTAACACGGTAGAGCCACAGGAAAACTTGAAGTGGGAAATTCAGATTGGAATGAAAGACAACAAAGGAACACAGAAGCAGCAAGACAGAGTAAATGCTGAAGGAGGATGAGGAGAATGAAAGGCTGACATAATTTATGCTGATGACCAGATCCTCGGTTCTACTGGGAACAGATAAGACACAGAGAAGTCGTTCAGGGAAATCATATGTAATGTCCTATTAAACATTTAGGACATTTTAGTCTGTGTAAATACAGACTAAAAGAGTTTTAAAGGTCTCAGGAGAGTCTGACCTCGAACTTTATTTAGTCACATAATCTATGCCGACATATCACAGGGACAGGGTGGTCTGTGACTTCTCTGGTGGCTTTCAACCATTTCAGTAGCCTCTCCCAGGACGTTTCGCACATGATGGGATGCACCTGGCTGGGAGTCGGTATTGGAGAAAAGATTCAAAACTTGGTCTGTGGTACAAAAGTGGTGTAGTTTGACTTGTGTCTGCATGATCCATTTGGCATGACACTGCCCCTTACACAGAAAGAATTAAATTTGTAAGTGATTATTGCTATTTCCTGTGTAATAGGAACACTTTTAACTTTTTTTTTTCATATTTTTAACATACAAATATCAGATTATACCAACCTAGAAAGATCCTAATTAAAATTACACTTCCCAGAAATTAAAGGAATTAGCTACAGGAGGGCACACTTAAATCAATCAACCATATCTGTGTCCTTTATTGATCCCAAATTGGTTCAGTGTGATTGGGACATTTTCATTTTCATAATCTTATTTCCAATTACACCATATCTCAAAGAAACTTGGAGTGATTCCCTTTTTTTCTTTTTCTTCCCCTCATGGTGTCACTACAGGCCAAACCTGACAAATTCTTTACGTATCTATGTACATGAGCCTCAGCATGCTGGATGAGGCATTTCTGTTCTGCTGCCTCCAAAGGTCATCTTCTGTAGCCTGTTCAGGGGGTACAAGACATGGATAAGTGATGGATGATCATAAGTAAGTGTGCATAAGTGAGTGGTTAGAGGGCTTGCAGGCCTGCCTTTCTACAAAGCTTTCATTTGTGCCCCTGGACAGTGGCTATTTTCAATATGAAAGAGGAAAAGTGTCAGAGTCAGCAGTCCTGCTGGGCAGCAAATGTATCAGAAATGTAACTGTATACTAACATTCTGTGCTTATCAGGCAGAGCTATCTTAAAACTTAAGTTTTAGAATAAATATTTGTATAATCTGGTCAAGATCAACCACTGCAAAGTTAGTATAGTAACTTTGGCTTAAAATTGTTACCTCTATATTGTTACATGAGTTAAAGGTTTGCATGTTCAGGCCAAGTTCTCTTAGTGCTCCTCATTAAGACATAGTTTATTGAAAGTGTTAGCAAATATTCAAAATTTTATTTAGTGCAAAAAGAAGATGAAAGCAATTGACAGTTTTTATTTGTGTGAGCATATTTTACCTCCATCCCAGCTATTTATAGCATACACTGGCATTGCATCTGTGGACTCCTAAAGTAGATCTGCTGTAAAAAGATGACCTCTGTCTTATTTATGGGTATAACAGAGGATTATAGTCAAAATGCTAAAATTCTGTCTTCCTGATTTTTTTTTTATCAAACCTAGTAATACATTTTAGCTGGAAAATGCTGAAGTTGTCAACATGCATTTTTTAGATATTGTGTTCTTGTTGGATTTTCTGTAATTCAGCATCTGTAACTGTTGGGTTTTCTTCTTAGGGGGTCTCTTACACCATAAGTACTGCCTCATAAATTCCTGTACAAGCATGTAATTAATCTGTTTAATTTTCAAGAACATTTCTGTCTTCTCATTAAATGGTAATTTCCTGTATCAGAAATCCAATGTCCTCTCTAATTGGAGGATTATATTTCAAGATCAGAAAATTATTTATTTTTCTATGCTAAGTGTATTTGGGGGTTTAGAATTCAGGTAAAATGCATATCTTGATTTTTTTTTTCTTATTAATTTGAAATTTTTACTTCAAGTTGTTTTCAAATTAGTACTTCGACATTTTCATCACAAAATGACATACTAACCCTACTCCTTCAGCTGAAATTAAAAAAAACCAAAAAAACAAACATTATTAAGATTGCAACGTCAAGCTTTCAGACACTAGGGCATGGGAAAACGGCATCTTGTCTAAATAGTGTATTCATAACTTAGCCCTTACCTCAGTTGAAGGCATTAAAATATTGCCTGTAGTTGTATGAAAAAAATCTGGTGTTTTGCCATATTTCATATCCAAGGTGGACCTTTTTTCTGTATTAATTAAAATAGTGCACTGGGGAAATTGTGGGTATTGTTTGTAAAGTATCTTCAAATTCTATTGGGGTTTACAGGAGTAAATAGTGTTTTCTATTTTATTGCAGTTGCAGCTTGCCTTGGAGATATGGATTTGCCTCTTTCTTCTGCTGCAGGACAAGTTGTTGAAATCAAACTTATCAAGATAGTCACTTGTTTCCATGTTGCTTTGTGTCTTGGGAAGATTCTGAACACTGCGAGTGGAAAGCCAGGGCAATGGGAGCTCAGCTGCTGGGCTTTGAGAACAAAAAGTGCTCCACAGTGATGTCGCAAACCTGAGGTCCAAAGTGAATGTGTACAGCTGACCTCAGACTTCTAGGTCTGTGCTGCAAGATGTTCCTCATCTCTCAGGTTATTTTGAAAATAAATTATATTATGGCTTCAAAGGATAATAATATAATAGTGTTTGGGTAATTTTGTCTTCAGAGCAGTGTTTGAACTATGCACAGTTAGAAAGCAATGGATACCCACCAAATGATTAGGACAAAATAAATAATTGCTTATTATTTGAAAAGAATCCTCCTCCAATGTGGCATGCAGTTGTTGTACAAACAAACAAAAAGTTAAAACAAAAAACATAAGAAAGCATATGGACAGCTACATAATCATAGTGGAAATATCTAAGATGGGAGTTCTCAATCTATGGTATGTGTATCACTAGTAGTATGAAAACTATTTCAAAGTGCATCTGAGCAGAAGAATGTCTCCTTCATATGACTTACTATTATTTCATTCCCACATGGAAACTGGAATAAAGATCTGGAAGTGCATGTAAGGACTGGTACATGCCACATTTCCACCATCACCGGTAATCCGGTAAAATAAAATTCTTTTTCCTGAGCAAACTAAAATGGTTACTTTGAGAACAAAGGAAAACCTGGTAAGTAATAGGTCACAACAGCTCAAGCAGTATGTCATGTTGTACACTATAATATCCTTTTCCAACTCTTACTTAGCAGGGAAGATGAAGTTAAATGACATTGTGTTATTCTGGGAATATCCTCAGGTGTACTTCACAAGCTTTTGCCAAGTAAGCCCAGTAAGAGCAAACAGGAGTAACTTGCTCTTTAGTGTAATTTTAAAGTAATTTGCTGACAGCTAAAGAACTACTTATCCAATACTTAAACTTTTCCCACCTACTACTCATGAAACCTACCCTGACTCTCCTCCTTAGCTTTCATTCTCATATGGTTATAATTGCCTGGCACTCACAATCTGTGTTCCTTGGGCTTCTCACAGCTCCTAGATCAACGCGTCTGAGCTCTGTGTCCCAACTCCAGTTATCTCTGTTTCCTCTAGCCAGTCTTCCCAACACACCTTCATCCCACCTTCCCCACCTTCATCCAGTTCTCAGGAACTGCAAGAGCATTTCGTGACTGAAGCACTGCAGTGCCTTCATCTGCATTTTCTGTAAGCTAGTGTGTCAAAGGAAGTTCTTCTAGTTTTATAACTTAGCATACCTGGGTTTTTTCACGATAATTCTTGTTACACTTCCCTGTGTGAAACTTCATCAGTTTCTGCTACCCTGAGGTTTCTGGATAGATACATAGATTTAAAAAACGTATTTAAGAGGGCACTTTATAACATCATGTACTCTGCAGCTATGTACATAAGTGTGACTATGTAAACAAAAAAAATATAGATATAAGCCTAAGAAATAGGTGAAAACATCTGAAAAATGAAAATTTCTTGAATGGACTATACCCAGCAAATGGGTAAACTCTTGATTAGACATGTTGCCTTTAAGCAGTCATTTAAGTAGGTTAATTAATATGTGGCCATGCATTTAAAAAGCAGATTTGAACTTAAAAACATATTTTAGAAAATATTGCAATCCTATTTCACTTGGAATATTTATTAATCTGCACAATTATTCAAACAGGAACAAGTATACAACTTAACAGTTAAGGGTATATAAATGTACAGAGATTTTTTTTGATCAATACAATGCATCAGAATTAATAGTGTTGAGTGAGTACTAACCAATGTATAATATTAAATGAGTAGAAGAACAATTCAGTGTTGCCAGCGGTATGAAAGGTGACAAGTACAATTTCAAAGACATTCTCAAATGACAAAGGAAAAATTTATTAATCCTTCCTTTTCAATACAATGTAAAAGTAAATATATGGTTTTACATATTTGAATATATACTTATAAATACACATACATGTGTATTAATTTGAATCCAATAGAGCAGTAGTATACAGTAATATGATTGATACAGAACAATTTAAAAATCATTTCACTGGGCAGTCAGTGTGAATGGATTTGTTTTTATACTGAAGTAATCTATGCATGGCTATTGACTAGTAGAATTATTAAAAATTCATTGTTTTGGTTTCAAAGCAAATATACTTAGGTAATAATCATGGCTAATCAAGGGCCTATATAAGTAAGCAAGCTTTTCTGCTGTCTTGAAACATATACAAAAGTTAAAAATTGTGCAACATATATCTTGACAGAGTCCCAAGCTGCCTGTGAAGTTATTCAAGCACTTCAAATACTTTCTAGTACTTACAGATGTGTCTGAATGCTTCACTTTGGTGCTGTTTTTGAGAAAAGAATAAAAGGGAGTTAGGGAAATCTGACAGAATATTTAGGAAAATATTCTGCTGCATAACTGAAGTGGCAGGAGATCCATAAAACCAGTCCCCAGAAGTGCTGTGGGGTTTATCAGTCTGTAATTGAGGTGAAAACTTCCCTATGATTTCCCCATGACTGTTTACATTCCACTTTTGGTATTCATGCACAAACTGCAGTCTGTCAGCATACGGAAGTTTCCACAGTGGCTCCAGAAAAAAATGTGTTTGGTAAAGCAAATTTGGTGCTGGGTAAGAAGGATAGTGTCCCCATGGTGTGAAATAATTCACAGCAAGACAGTGCTCTACCTCCTTTTGGTGCCCTCGCTTTCGTGACCTTCGATGTTGCCGGAAGTCCCCGTTAACAAAGTCATTTAAGTTTGATGGGTGAATACTCCAGTAGTTTCCTTTGCCATCCTCACATCTTCCCACCTTGATGAAACAATCATTTAGTGAAAGGTTGTGCCTTACACTGTTCCTCCAACCTCGACCTTTGTTCCTGTAAAAAGGAAAATTATCTTCAATATATTTGTAGATAGCAGCTAAATTCAGTTTATTTGTGGGGGAAGAAAGTATCGCCTTTGCAATCAAAGCTATGTATGACAGAGGTGGTTTATCCAGAAATCTTCCTTCATCCACAGTCACAGGAAGACCCTTTTTGGCATGTATGTGAAAGCTGGGAATTCGGGGTGGAATCCCTTGAGCCAATTTTCCTTCTTCTTCTCCTACTGTACAGATGTCTAGACTTCCTCCATTGTTTTCAGAAGAGTCTTCACTCATTATAGCAGCCTGAAGCCCAGCATTTATTTTAAGCGTTCTGATATTTTACTGCAAGTAGCCAGTTGAATAATTGGTCCACTGAATATAACCAGCAGGAGAAAAGAAAGTTGGATTGCAAATGTGCTGCTCTCACATACCCAGATTTCTATTTTATACTCTGTTAAGTCAACATTCTTAACAACGAAAACTGAACTGCCTATGTTTACAAAAGTCAACGTGCTAGTCCTAGCTGAATGAAAAAAAAAAAAACCAAAATAATTATACTATCTTAAGTACGAAGATAAACAGATCATGACGTTAGCCTCTCACTTCATTATAATCTGAGAAAACACCCTTCAGTGTTCCCCATTGAAACATAATGATTAATGGGAAATTTATGGTGCCTAGATAGAGTTGCGAAAGGATCAGACTTTCCAGTGATATGCAGAACAAACTGAAAACAATGTGTTGGTTCCTGTGTTCTACACTTAGTCAAACATGTTGTATTTAGTACAATAAACATTTGTTTTACCTGCTGTTAGAAAGTACTGTGTGAAAGGAAACTACCTATCAAATTTTATAGCTGCAGTGTAGCTATTCTTGGTGAAACTGAATTAAAGAAAAAAAAAAAACCCAAACACAAGTTTCTCTCCTTTTTTTCTTATTAACTCTCTGACAGCAACTAGCTTTCATGCTGCATATGTGAGTGACCAGTTCTGCCAACCCAAGAAACAGCTTGAGGGAGCAATTACCGCTCAGAATCAGAGAGTTTTGTGCTCTGTCACTCCCAAAGCACAAACTGTCACTTGAGCTTTGACACGGCCCTCAGCCTCCTGTGGTTAAGGAAAAGACAATCATCTCATCTTGGAAAAGGTTGTCCAAAGAAGTTGTGGATACTCCCTCCCCTTAAAATTTCAAGGCCAGGTTAGCCTGGATTCTGAGCACCGTGGTCTAGTGGATGGTGTCCCCACCCATGACAGTGGGGTTGGAACCCCAAACATTTCCAGGATTCTATGATTAGTCTAGGAAGATTATTAAGTATGTTGAAATATGTTCTGAAGCAGAATGAAACAATGTGGTGGAAGCTTTGAAAGAGGATATATCTTCTTTTGGGTCACTTTTGACTTCCAAAATATGTATTAGCAAATGAGGTCTGTGTTTTGAGGTATCAACAATGGCATCAGAGATTTAACTTTATAAGGCTGAAGTTGATGCTGTTGTTCAGGATCTTTTGGGTTCTGAAAATAAGCCTTGGTTTCTCCTTTCAGCTAGTTCTGTCAAAGAGAGAGGGGCATTAGGTATCTATTAAAATGATCCCTTTCCTCCTGATCTTGAAGTGATCATCTTGACTGATCATCTTGATAGGGCCCTTGTAAGCCTTGTCCCAGGGTTTCAAATTGACCAACCCATGTTTTAGTTGGCAGCCTGATATCCTTAGATTAGAAAGTAAGACTCATAATGCAACTACAGGTTACATGGGTTATCTAATATTTCTGTACCAGGGCAGAATTGCCACCTGCTTGCTTCCAAGATTTAATAGAACACTTTTCCAGTAATCATTGTGAATGGGATGTACCTGGTATTTTAACAGCCTTGACTGTTCAAAAATCCTAGTGATGACATGATGAGCTATTTAACAAGTTTTTTTCTTGGTCTTCGGTCTCAGTAATCATTTCTTTTGAAGGCATTCATTTGACCTGCTCTATCCCTACTAAAAATTTTATCCCTGAAACATTCTAAAATTGCCATCTTTCTGTTACTGGTAGTTTTTCATAACCTTCTGATGACTAATTTATCCTTTTTTTTTCTTCTTCTCTCTTATTTACAGCTGAATGGTTGCCAAGTCATAGCAGAAATTATTGAGATTATCTCTGAAATGTGTGATCTGGCACATTAGACTATTTATTACAATCATGCCATTTCTGCTGTTTCAACTTTTTCTGCTGTTTCAGCAGGTTATACCTAAAGGGGTTCCTACAATAATAATATAAAAACTTGATTTTAATTCAGAATACCAGATTCTCTATATTAGGTTATTTCTACTGAAAGTTGCATTTTTGTGAAACACTGCAGTTGTACACTGGAGAATGAATGCTGCCTACTGCGACAAGGACTGTGTGCTCCCTTCCCCATAGCTCCAAGAAAGAAACACAGAATCAATTACATGTTCTGCTATTTTAGTAGTAACTTTGTAAATTGAAGGACTCTAAAGAAGGACAAGGCACAGAACCCAAATTTTGAGTGCCTACAAATATCTAAATTAAATTAATAATAAAGAAACAATCTTTATTAGAGTTTTCAATTTTATGGAGAGGCTTTCAGAAACTGAGGAAATTGAAGTTATTAAAAGGAGTCAGTCTGAAGAATTAGAAATTTAAAGGCGGTAAATGCCCAAAAGTCAAATACATGATACTTGAACTCAAATCCTATAAAAGAAGAAAAATTGTGTTTAAAGGGTTCCATATCTGAACAGATGAACAGCTCTTTCAGTGACTGAAGGAAGATCCTACAGGGAATGAAAGACAAAAGGGTGAGCAAAAAACCCCTTGGAAGGGCTGCATCTCCCAGATCACAGTTTTTGGTTTTCCAATATGCCACCAAGGAAAATATTAATCCCAAAATCCTGGGTGTCTTCCTTGTTTTTTCTTTCTGCACACTATTTCTGAAGTTAGCTTTTATTTTCCTCTGAGTCTTATCATTAAAGATTAAAATTCCTCCCTTTGCCCAAAACAAGATGCCATCTAAAAAAATAAGACAAGTTCCCTGTTTCATCCTTATTCTTTGAGGGAACCTTCTTGCCACTTGAAATGTTTGCAGAGCTCTAACATTAGATGAACAACCTTCATCTAGTTTTATCTGAAGAGAAGAATAAGAGACAGGGAAAGCATACAGTATATTCTTATTATGCAGACTTTTTCAAACCCTGGGAAGAAGAGTCCTCTTTTAATGTCTGCATACACTTTACTAAAGCATCATTTTTGTCGCCACATTCTCTTCAAAGCTGCTAAAACACTGCATGGTTAGAAATCTGAGATTTCCCACAAAGAACCACAAAAATAAGAGGCTGGCTTTATCAGCCAGACTAGTTAAACAGTTTATCCTGTAAATCTGTCAATAAATGATGTATTGTTGAAAAGATGAATGAGGATAAAAGAGAATTTGGAAATTCGGTTCCAATAATGTAATCTGTTCTGAATTTTCACTGGTTTTTTCCTCTGCCCTTAATTTAGGTTAAAGAGATGTTTTTAAATGTCTTAGTATTTATTGTATGAATCCAGACTATCCCCTTACAATAATTCTAGTGTTTCTTTTTCTATGCATATATTTACAAAGCCTGTAATTTTTCAGCTTTGTACTGTGAAAACAAGCACATGTTTTTGGGAGTGGTTTAGTTTATGTTTTGGGTCACAGAGTAGACCAGTTGCAGTCATCAGACAAAGTTTTGTTAAAAAGTCTGACAGTGCTTACAATCTGTAATGAAGAGCAGAAAACAATCGAGTGCAGCCTTTGTCCTCACTCAGCCTTTATTACTAAAATTTAACTATAGTCACATGGAATTTAGAAAGAAAATGTTGCCTTAGTGTAATACTGTCTTTTCTTCTTAGCTCTGCATACTTTAATGTAGAATTAAAGAATTAATTGTTGTTTCAAAATACCTCTCAAAATATGCCATCAGTGTTTCTTTCTAAAGTATATAACCTTTAAAATATTTCTTCTACCTCTGGTTTAGCTCTTTTGACCATTCAACAGTCAGCTAGAACAGTGTTCTCTGTAAGGAGAAAATGTATTTATGCCTTATCCTAATAGATTTATTTATTAGCAGTGCAGAAGGTAATATATCTCATACTATTTGCTAAATAGGTGCAGTTTTCTAGGGCACTGGGGAATCCACTGTTAGGAAGCCAAGTGGAACCAGATTTTATACTGCTCATCTTTAGTCCATGCTTAAGACATAATTGTTGTCTGCTTGTTGCAAAGGTATAGCCTCTTTTCTTCCAGTTAAGGCAAAGAAAGAACAACTGGTCAGTGCTAATAATAGATATGAAAAAAATATTTGACTGTAGTTTTTGTTGCTCTGTTGTGTGTTTAATTAGGTCCAAAGCCTACTAATTCTGTAATGTTTTTCCCCTCTAATGTTTACTATGCCGTTCAATAGAGAAGATAACCCATATAGAGCTGTCTTTATTTTCTACACATTTTTAATTCTATCTGTTGTTTCTGCTGTTACTTAAACAGTGTTTAAGGACACCTGGAAACTATTTGTCTTGATTCAACATTTGGTTTTGATGTGTTCAGAGGAATGAGGCTTCAGTAAAGAAGTCATTAAAGTCATTAAAATTTTAGAACATTAAAATGTTCTAAAATTACCTGCTGTTGTTATACTTTGAAAGGAAATAGCTAAACTGTTGTCTGATTTAGGTATTTTAGGACATCATTTTAAAAGATGCAGAGAAGAAATTATATTATTTTAATTATCTTGTTTTCACGGTGTTAATGCAATCCTTATATGTATATGTGTGCTTGATTTGGTGTAATTCTGTCTGTATCTTTTGGATAAAAATATGTGAACTTCTATGAAAAGTTTAACTCTGTGCAAACTGTTCAGACAAGAACTAAATTAAATGGAGAAGAGACATAAATCTCTCCATTCTGCACTGAAGAAGATGAAGCTTGTAGATAGGACATTATTCGCAACTAGAGTGTGGTCTCCCTCTATGCCCAGTTGTGCTTGTTGGTCTCCCTCCTTATAACCATTGGTATTTCTTTATTGTACACAGACGGAATCTTTTCCCTCTTTCATATTATTTCTTATACACCATTTTTCTGTTTCCTATTTTGACTGCCCTTACTAAGTACATGCTCTTTGTCTAACTAGATAATGGCACGAGACTGGAGACTTTGTCGATCAGTGATAGCACTTAAACTAATAACTACACCTGTTCTCACCTTTTCTTCCCATATCCCATATTTATTTACACCCAGGACAGAAGTAAAAGATTTGAACTAAGTGAATGGCAAGCTGGATAGAGAGGTACAGAATAATATCCACTAATTAATGTCACTGACATTAAGTAATTGATTTAAACACAAATATGTCTTTTAATATGTCTTTGTTTTCAGAACATTCTGCAACCTATCCTTCCTTCCTTCCTAAGCAGTCCTTGTCACAGCATGATGGAATGCATTGATTTTTTTATTAACTTGGGCATAATATCTAGTCTAATAGCTGCTGAAGTCTATGGAAAGGTTCTCCCTAACTGAATTAGTGTTGGACTGGGCCAAGACAAATCACTGTTTGGTTTCAGCAATCATTAAGAATAAAAAAATTGCAACAACATTAATCAGTAAATCAAAACTCTCTTTAACCAGTTTTTAACCTATTTTCATGCAGTCTAGAGGCAAAACCAGTTTCCACAAGTTTTCTTTTTGTTAAAAAATATAGCATTGTAAAGCACTAGCTCAAAGTCAATAACATTCCTGGAGTGTAGGAGTTATGTAGTTTATGGTAAAAGCTATTTTTAAAATCTCTTCTGATATTCCTTTGTCTCAAAGAATTAGGAATGTTTTTGCAGTAGCAGGTGGGATGGCTATTGAAGGGTTTTGATGGAGCATTAGTAAGACATGGAGATGTTCTCATGGGATGGAGGGGATGCTGCATCAGAAAAGATGATTTGTGATAAGATGCCATTTACCTTATTGTCTGGAAATAGACATAACAAGATGAGCTTTAAAGTTACCAGTGAATCTATGACAGGGGGAAGGATTCAGTGTCCTAAATGAAGAATTATGTTTCTAAACTGTACTGAAATCTGTGATGATGCTACTAATGCTGTCAGTCTCTGGCATGATTAATTTCAAGATCGTCTCACTATGTATCTTAACTTGTACTGTACTATTAGATTATGGCGTTGGCTTACCCTTTGATATAGGCAAGGGAAATAGGAAATATTAAATGTTGTGATGGAAAAAAAGTGACATTTTGAGATCAAGATCTTTGTTCTATAAAGACTGAATCTTTCTATGCATGGAGTGCCATGAAATGAAAGTCAAATGCTATCTGAATAAGTTGGTTAAGAAGACGCTGTTTCATATAATGGGAAGATGTCCTGCACAAAGATTGATCACCCTTTACGTTTAGTTCTTTCTTCCTCCTGTTTGTGGCTGTGTGAAACAGGTTTTTGTTTCAGGGCTGGCTGCTAAAATTAATTCTTTCACTTGCTTTTCTCCCCATTTGCCTGGATGATGCTAAATGCAGTTTACACAAGATAATTTCATAATCTAATTAATGGTGAGCTCAGCCATATTTACAATGGGACATTACAAGTTCATTTTCAGTGTACTCACTTTCATGTTTTATTGCATTCCTGGTTTGAAGTGGTGATGGCCACTTCTTAGCTAGAAGCTGGCATAGTCCTCATATCTGGCTCACTGGGTCAGCATGGTATAAAGTTGGGGCAGAATGTGACATTGCATTTTATATCTGAAAATATTGCAAAAATGGCCCTGAAAATATATATAGGAATATTTTATCAATATAGAAACTTTTTATGTTCTGAAGTATACATCCTAATCAGAGAATAGCTCCTTATATCAAAATGATGATTTTTTTGTACAACATAATTTAATCGTCTTAAAATAGCTATGTACAATTTAACTATGCAAAGAAGACAGTTTCTGCTGTTCTTCTTCTTAGCACATAGAGCCACATAAAAATAGGGAATACAATATTTCAAATGTATCACCAAAATTGTAACATCTAATACTGCCAGATGGAGAAAGGCCAACATAGCTTGCACACCATAGCATCTATTAATAGACCCAACTCCCTTTTGCAATGTCAACTGTAACATTAATCCTTGTTTTAAATCATAGTATCTCAAATAGCAGCTGCTACTAGTTGTACAGCTCTCTTTCAGTTTATATCAGAGAGCCCAATGGAGTCTTTTGAAGGACCTAGTCAGGTTAACAAGGCTAACTTACTACGAGTCCCCACTGGAAATGATTCCACTTCAGACGACGAAGATGTTAATATCGACATTAAACTTCGTTTCTCCCCATGTCCTCGAAGACGGAATTCTTCAGCTTCAGAGGAAGAGGAGGCAGAGACTCCCACCAATATCTCAAGAAAAGTTTCATTTGCTGATGCATTTGGGTTTGATCTTGTGTCTGTTAAAGAGTTTGATATCTGGGAATTTCCTAATACAGGACAAGAAAATTATATAGAAGATGAAGTTTTCCCTCAGGATGAGTATTTTTTCTCCCAGCAGTTTACATTACCTGCTTCTCAAGAAGAACTTTTACAAAAAGTGCGAAAGCAGAAAGTGGTGTTGGAGTCAGTCCTGCTCCTGCCTGGGATTACCTGTATGAACGGCATTGTACGAGTCCTCAATGTATCCTTTGAAAAACAGGTGTATGTTCGCATGACATTGAATAACTGGCTCAGTTACTATGACATCCTCGCAGAGTTCATGCCTAATTCTTGTGGTAGTGAAACAGATCAGTTTTGCTTTAAGATTTCTTTGGTGCCTCCTTTCCAGAAAGATGGAATTAAGGTGGAATTCTGTATACGCTACGAGACATCAGTTGGTATCTTCTGGGCAAACAATGATGACAAAAATTACACACTGATTTGTCACAAGAAAGAAACTGTGCCCAAGGTGGATAATAAAGCCCAGAAAGAGGTTACAGATAGGAGTCTTAAAGGCTGCTTAAAGACAACACAAAGCAGGTGAGAGTACACCTTAATTTTTGGTAATTTAGAATATAGCTGGCTAATTCTGACTTTCTATGTATGCTTACTTGAGTCAAGACTGCCCACTGTAATTTTCTTCTATTTTACTTTTTTTTGTAAATGAAAAATTAGACTGAGACTTGTTTTCAGTAAAGTGTTTGTAGATATCAGCCGGGGATTTTCTGCAGACAGATTAGTTTGGATCATAATTTTATGCATGACAATAATTTGAAAGGTAGTGTGAGGTTCTATAAACCCTCTATGCACTGTGTATCAGTTCTGATCTCTGTAGGATATAAACTGAGTTGACATCAATGGGATCTTTGTTCTAGACTAAGGTAGCTGTACAGTTAAAATAATTTGCATCCACTTCCTTTGTAAGTCAACAAAAATTTAAAAGCAAAACAAAAGCAAGGTTTTCATACAATTTATTTAATGGTTCTTTTTCTACATGCAATTATTAAATCAAAAATGGAACCGGTGGTTCATGAAGCAGAAGTGGATAACTTAGGCAAGAATCCAGCAATTAAAATAGCTGGTACAAACTTTTCTGCAAGTGGTTGGGCTATTCTTCAAGTTGCATATTAGGGCTGTAATTCCTTTCCCCTGCTACTGGTTCATGCTTCTGTTTCACAACTGGTGAAATGAAGTATGTTTTGTAAGGTAGAATCAGTAATATGTTAAAGAAAAAATGTATAGAATTTATCCTCTCTATACTGTTTTGATTAAGTATAGACAAGTAATATGTTAATTATAAAGTGGCAGTTGCTAACTTATACTTTAATCGTATATAAAGAGAGACACAGGAATAGTCACTTCTGTTTTCCTACTGTTTTTAACTATGTTCTTTCTGTTAGCAAAACAGTGTTGCATGCAAAAATCTAATTCTCAATTATTTTCCTCCCCATATTTACTATAAATTATTTGGACTTTTTAAATTCTTACAGAATCAAATCTGTATTTTACCTGTAATGTCTCTTACAATACTTGGATGCCAGAACTAAGTTAATACTGTGGGTTTGAATTTATGTTGGGGTTTTAGTTCCTATACTCTTTCCAAATAAGACAGTGCTGTTTGATTTAACCGGTGCTCTTCCACTGACTGAAGTGGTAGGGAAGGTGGAACGGAACTGCAGTAGTGGGAGCTTAAGGAAGAGGGAGACAGCCAGGACTTCCTCTGTGCAGAACCTTCGTTCCCAAAACCAGACTTGCTGTGCTGGGAACTTCTGCCAGCCCTAATCACACATTAGCCTTGTGAGAAGTGCACAATAAGGCTTAGTGCTTGTATCAACACCACAAGGTAGAAACCACCCCAAGGCTAGCCCAAGGTCTGGTTCACAGCTGGTTCACAATGCTCTCCTGACAAGTGTCCTTTGGGCCAACTCTGGACCCCTCATAATGATACTTCCATGAAGGAACATCCCAGTATGTCAGAGCAGAGGGAACAATGCTTTTACGTGTCCTGTGGTCAATTCCTGACATTTGTGTCTGGTTTTATACATAATTTCTGTGTTTTAAGGAGTGTCACATGACACTCTGGATAAGTAGGATAGCCTGAGATACCCTGCAGAAGAGCTGTGATATCGAACACCATAGGCATGTGCAGGAAGTATGACTCCAGCCTGAGGTGAGGCAGCCCACAGGGAACAGATGAACATGGAGAGCTAAGTCTCAATTTAGTGAGCCCTGGGCTTCCAGATGGATTCAGGAATAACCTGAAAATTCAGGCACCAATGACATCTAAGGTCAAATGACTCCTATGTGTTTAATTCCCTAAAGTTTCTCATGATATGCATAGTGCTAGCAAAAGTTGTAGAAGTCTTCCTTCTGGGAGATACTTTTTTACATGGATATACTGAATGATTTATGTGTAAGTCAGACAGCTGTTTTAAAAAGTGGGAAAGGGGATAGCATGTCTTCTTAATATAAAATTACTTTGTTTCTAATCAGAATATAAAGTTGTCTCCCTCTATGTCAGACTGAAGAGGAATGCATATCTGTATATGTGTTTATACATACATACATACATATATATGTATTTGTGTATACATTAATGTGTATATTTGTTCATATAGACACATATACACATGTATGTTTAAAATATTTAAACCAAAGTGGTCAGATTCTTGTCTACATTAGGATCTACTACACATTTCTGTCAAACAATTGACAACCATGCACTTTCAAGACTCTCTTTAATGGCAGAAAAATATACAGAGACCTTACAGTAAATGCAAAAATGAGCTGCAAGTATCTTTGGAAGATTGTTTCAGTGGTCACCAAGACTTCTGAAACTACAGTTCTGGCAGTATGTAATCCAGGACTAATTTTATGCTACAGGGACTTCTGGCAGTATGTAATCCAGGACTAATTTTATGCTACAGGGACTTCTTTGAATTCAAAAGAGTCACAGCTTTTGCCAGTGTAAATGAGGTCAGCATCAGGGTCTTTTGTTTCAAAAGAGCTAAGATGCCAGCTTCCATTGCTCACTTGTTTTTCAAAGTGTCTTTGTACATGTTGCCCCTTTGAGTGAGGAGGAACACCCTGCAGACATCTGCAAAAGCACCTCATTATTCTCCTTCAGACCCTCATTAAAACTCCTTTGCTTTGATACCTCGGAAAAAAGCAAAAGAAAAACAAATCCCCCAAAATTGGCAAAGTGAAGCTGCTGATGTGCTGTTACTCCTTCATCTCACATTGAGCAGTGCTGCCCATTTGCCAGCTCTCCTCCACCAGCCCATCTCTCTCTCTCCTTTTACTTTTAGTTTGGATGATAAATTCTGCAGCATTTATATGTGCTATGCTGGGTGGTTACGGAATATTTAGCAAAGCGGGGGAATCCTTGAACATAACCAGCTTGTCGTTAGAGTTGCAGCATTGCAAATAGATAGAAGTAAAAGCAATTTTATCTATGATTCTCACAATAAAGTTACAGGTGCTATCCATACCCATGAATTGGACATAAATTAAAGATTTCTTTATAGCAATCTGAATAGAAGGATAATTTTAAAGGATACTCAATTAGGACTCAGTTTCAAATTTAGAAACTTGTAATAATATTTTAATTTTTTTAAAACTCTTGGCTCTGAGATATTCATACTTTCTCTTAAAATGTGAAATTTATCTCTGCAGTTAAAAAATAAGACATGAAGGGATCATGGTTTTTAAGCAGAGAGTCTGATCCACTCTAGGGCATATTTGTGTGGCTCATTAAATGTCATTAGCAAGAATTAGTTGTGTTAATTAAGTGAAAGGAATAATATTCACTTTCAGAGGAAGTTACTGGGGAAACACAATAATATGACTATTTCAAGTTACCCTTAAGAACATGGTCAAGGACTAAGATGAGTGAATGAAGCTAATAGGCTGATTTCTGACACCATTATTAAGAAATAAATTTTAAAAGTGAACGTAGCCCTCAAAAGTTGCACCTGAAAAAAAATTTATAGTAACAAGCAAAACTGCATCAAATCATTAGTGCTGAAAACTGTCTATATTTGGATATTCAGAACCACATCACTTAAAATTCTGCTTCTTCATTTCATGCTTCATTTGCTTTTGCTTCCATGTCTAGGTTGAAAGTGTTTGCTTAACTTGTACATAGTCATAGATATACTTCAGGAGAAAAATTGACTCTTAAAATTCTAAGACTCACAGGAAGAGAAAAAGCTTCTACCAATAAACAGGCCTAATTTACATCCTATTTATAAATATAAACAATATATATACACATCAATATATACACATATATTAAAACATAAAATATAAATATATATTAAAATTATATTATATATATAATTTTAATATCATTATATGTAGATATATACAAGTCAGAAAAATGTAAATTAATTGCATCAGCTCCACTCTTTTCTCTTTTTTTTGACTCTCATGCTTTTGGGATATGGATAATGACTCTGAAAGTGGATTCTTCCCAGTCCTCGGATTTAGACCACATGATTGTATTGTGGACACCAGGCTCCTGCATTGGTCTGATCAGACAGGAACTGGTTGGCTGCTGCATGAGGCAGACTCCAGATCATGCTGAAAGGTGTAGAGATAGAGTTATGGAAGCCACATCCCCTGTCACTGGGGATGCTACATCCCATTTCTGTGCTTGGCTTTGGTTTGCCATCTGTCAAGAGCAAAAGCACCAGGAAAGTGGCTGATAAGCACGAGAATTGTTTTACAGAAGGGTATTGTGTTTGGACTCCTCTCCTCTGACAAGGAAGGGAAAGGCTAGTATTTTTGTCACAACTGTTATCCTCCCTTACCTCTCTGAGCCAACAAATATATCACTCTGACCTCATCCACAAGTGTATCACTGTGATCCAGCTGATATTGATCCTATGCCTTTTTTTTGTAATTGCTGAACTGTACCTTTTTTTGAGTAATAGTGCATCAATTTCCTTTCCTCCATGATGCCACTTTAAAACACAACACAGAATAGGGCAATGGTTCTTAAAAGAGTTTCTCTTATGTACAACACACAATGAGAAATAAGAGATTAAAACCCATGTCTGTGGGCTGCCAATTCCAACTTTGAAAACATATATACTGAATAGTCTCTAAGAAATTGTCAGTGAGAAAATTTCTTCCATGAATGAGTCCCTTTCCTTCTTCAGAAGCTGATCATCTCCTTTCTGATGGGAGGCAAAGGAAGTAAAAGTTGCTGAAGATGCAGCTTGTCAAGACTTCACTGTGCTCACTGTGCTCTGTCTTTCCAGGCAGATGGCAGACCAGTGCCTAGGTTGTGCTGAGAAATGCAGTTTTGCTGCAGCTCCTCTTGGCCTTTCCCACAAGCTCATGATGTGGCTAAAAAAAAATCAAAGGCTTCTTACAAAGATGTTTGGAAATGATCTCTCATGCACTTTGCTATGAAGAACAACTGTATCATTCCCATCTGGTACATTTAAAATATGGCATTTAAATTACATTCCCTTTTAATCCTTGTTCTTTTGATTGTGTGTCACCATAATCAGGAAGGTAAAAGAAGAGCA